TCATCTTACATTGTTGTTGCTTTTTAAGAAGTTTACGAAAGGAAGCCAAATTAGTAGAATGATAAATTTCCTTCGCTATACATACTATACTGCAAAAGAATAGGGACATTTCCAATATCTCCAACCAAGGATTTTTTCTTTATTAATTTGAATTTATTTCATGCTAACTGCTTGAAATGAAAAGGCACATCAAAGACATTTTGATTCCACTTCCAAAATTTGCACACATACACGCAGACACACCCGACTGATGTTTTCGACTTACAAACAAAATATTATTTTCTGCCTCCATTTTTTTACTTCTTCATTTAAGAAAGGAAATGAATTAAAAGGGCTAGTATATGGGGGCCTCTCTCTTTTGTAATGATCCCTGGAAAATGTTTTTAATTGGGGGTATTTTGTGACGTAATCGGTGGGACATCTTTCTTTACAGAGAGCAAAGAATTGTTCCTCCGTTTCTGCTTCGCCAAGTATTCCCCGCCAGAGTTCGTCTCTGTTTTTCGAGGGACTTTTCCCCTTAGATGAAAATTCTCCCCATTCGACGAACTCGTCCCCTTTCTGTATATACTGTCGACTTGCTGTTGGCGAGTGGAGTTTTTCTATATTTGGATGGTAGATCCTCCCATTGGTTCCACTGAGATCGAAAAATCTCGGGTTGGAGGTTTGGATCTTCTTCGTGCATTGGACCATGGCATGAAGGTGTGGGTTTCCATCTTCATGGAGCTCCCTTGCGACAAGTATGTAGTATGGCTGACAGGCTAGTTGGAGTAGAGATTGGAGGAGTTCTAAGAGTTGTTCTTTTGGGCATGGGCATTGTGGGTAGGTGAGGAAAACATTCTTGGCATAAAAATGGAAAGAGGCTTGGTGAGGCATTATTTAGCTTATTTAGTGATTAACACTTAACTTACACAGGTGTGAATGTTGTTTGTCGAGGCTTTATATAGGGGGAGGTCACACCAGCTGGGGGGGGCGCTACATATAATATTACTAGCGCCCCCCTGTTGAAATTGTACCCGTTAGGCAATTTCATCTGTTGATGGACGTACGGATGGTGACGTGTAAGGCGGAGATTAAATCCATACTCACACCAAATAGTAATCACTATTTGGTGTGAGTAGCCGGGGCTTGGTGTGAGTAGACGTGGCCATCTCTTGTCCACCCACGTGTCACGATCGTGGTGGTTTTGCTTGGATATAAAGCAAAGGTGCACAGAATTTTGCGTGAATGAACAGTAATGGGCGGGAATTCAAATTTTAAATTCCGAATCTCCATATTTACAGCTGTCTATATATCTGGGTGCAGCCTCAGATATTTGTCGGTGGAGAGAGATAAGAGAGATATGCTTTTGCAGTTGGAGAGTTATTACACTAAGGTGATTTTCTAGTACCTTGTTTCGTCCCTCCTTTTCTTTCTGCTATTTTTGTCGATTTATTTGGTATACAATGCTGTACTCCTTAGAAGAGTATCCCGAGAATTACGGGCAGTTCACTCAAATGTGTGTAGATCGCTTTTTGACGTGGCAACTAGGACTGTGGGAAGAGAGCCGGCGGAGAGCTCCGGTGAAGTTTGTTCCGGTGTACGAAGAGCAGAGGGCAAAAATATCAAAGCTAAGGTGTCTGAACAGAAGGGTTAGCAGAGGTAACAGATCCTGTAGAAGTGTTCGTATAAAAGAATTTGAGTTATTTATAAAAAATAGAAGGAATAAGAAGCAGCCATTACCGGACCCCTCTTGCGTACCGGAGGTCAAGGACACCGGCGGCCAGTGGATATAGGTGTAGTTACCGTAGTCTTGCACCTTTTAAGACCCAGTATGTTCGCAAACGGTACGTTCAGAATATTCCCCAATTTATTAAGAAGACTAAGAGGGCAGTAAGGAAATTACAGCTATACGATGAACAATTAAGGGATGTTAAGTTTGATAATAAAGGCGTGGCGAGATTACTTAATGGTATTGAGTTGGGTAATAAGAGATCTGATCGTCAATCAGACAAGATTGTGGTTAAGGGTATCAAATTCATTGGTAATGTTCAATTGGGACATGATGCTTAGGATGAAGCTGTGGTCCACCACGTGTTGTTTTTTGTCATCAGTGATAATAGTCAGTCAGATTCCGTCCCTACACCTGACAAGATATTTATTGAAGTTGGCGAGGGTAATCCTGAGACCTGGATTGTTGATCCTGACCAATCCGACCGTTTTCGGATGCTAAAGAAAATGAGATTCAAGCTCGTTGGTGGCAAGGACAAAGAGTACGTTCGTCACGGGATAGAAGTTGTAGACCGGTTCTTCCCACTTGATGTTTGGACGGACTACAAAGATACGCTGTTGGGAAATGTTAGAAGCATTCAAAAGGATGCCATATATTTAGTGGCTGCTACTGTTAGTGGAAAGGAATGCAAAATTACTTTAAGGAGTCAAATGTACTTTAAAACTGTTTAGAAATTGTAATTTGATGTATTTTTATTTTTAATGTTCAGGTTAATGGAGGTGGACGATATAAAAACTGGGGTTGTTGAAGGTGTTTCGGCAAGTGATTTCAGTTGTATTGAACTTGCGTTGCCTAATTTATTTTCTCAATTGAGGTTAAGATACAAACAAAAAAGTATTAAGGTTGATAAAATATTCTCCCCTTTGTGCACCCAATGCTAGTGGGTTGGTCAGAGTAAATGTTTATGATCGGAGGTTAGACGGTAATGACAGTTTGCAGGCATGGTTTATTTTCCCAGTAGATTGTCAATGCGAGCTAGTCTATTATGGGAATGGTTATTGTTCAATTAACGACAAACAGGTGCCATGGATGGTGAAGTATCGACTTGAAAATTCGAATATTAAAAGGGGGGTTACGTATTGTAAAATGAAGGGGTATCTGAAGTATTCTATGAGTGACATGCCAGAAGATTCGCAAATGAGGGCCCCCTCTATTGTTGTGTTATCTAAAAAATATACTAATGATAATGTTGATGTCTGGCATTGTCCTCCAACGAAGGCCATTCCGATTCTGACACGGACTAAGTCTGTTGGTTTACCAGAGAGGCGAAGAGATTTGTTGTTAGGAGATTTTGGGGAAAGTGGTTCAGTTATTCATGAACGCAGAGGTCGTCTGAGTTTGTCAGAGATTGATGTACGCAGAGGTGGTGATGAATCTAGTGATGTTGATCCTGGTCTGTCGATTTCAGAGGTTGGTGTTAGCAAAGAGGAAGTTGATCGTAGAGGATCAGTTGTTATGGATGCAGCAGAATTTTCTAATGTTTTACGAAATGTAATCATCAGTATAAAAAATAGTGATGTGACTCAAGATGTAATAGTTGATGATAAGGGAAATGTAGTAAGTAAATAAAATTTTGAATGGTTTCATAAATAAAATTAATAAAATTTTTCATTAATCATGACAGTGGTTACATTAACATCAAACCATTCTCTCATTTTTGGGGACATTGCATCTAACCAACTACTGTCCCCATTTGTTAATAAAATACAAGGAATTCCTCTTCTAATAGTGAGATCTGGTTGGAACTTAACAAATACATGGAAATATCAGTCGGGTTGTCATCATTTTGATTCCGGTCATGCACTTGTACATTTTTTGGTGATTGGGTTGCCAAGTTTTTCTTGATGCTAACATGTGTTTTAACATAATTTGATCCCATTTTGGACATTTATGGCTCCCTTAATTTGTTTATAAGTGAATTGAAAAAACATGTATTTTGCAATCTAATTATTGATGAGATTTTACTTTATTAGGTGTTGATGCTCAAAAGAGCAATAACATGTTTGTATAATTCCTAATATATTTTTTTCACTTTTGGTGAATTAGGGTCCACATTATTGTTAGATGGGTCATTTTGTTTGACATTATAAACAATACACTTAGCAGTCATTTTATTTGGCACGTGTTATATTTTAGCAATCAATATGCATGGACTTTTCTGGTGAAGGCAATTTATATGTGCTCAAGTTAATTTACATGCACCATGGAGTTTGTGTGCTACCTGCCTCAGATTTTCTGGAACTTTCCTCACTAGAACTAGTAGATTCAAGCCATGTTCAATTTTTACATTTTATTACCCTTGGTTTAATTTTAGAGGAAATATACTTTTCAAATATTTTCCATTTTATTTCTTCTACTTAATGTCTTTTTGCTTTACTTTCAAGGTACTTCCTAGCATTTTCATAAATAGTCTGAGTTTTCATCTTTATTTCATGACCTATTATATTTAATTTGCATGGTCAACTTTTCAAATTATGATTTTCTACCCTCAATACCAGAAAAATAGTTTTTCCTGTTGGTTGTATAACTGCTCTTGCTTAAATTGCAGGTAAAGAATAGTTCTCGCAGCTGTTGTGTGAATCTGCTGTCAGTTACTGGTGGTTTTCCTAAACTGCCATTAATTTTCTTTATTTTCTAAATGGCAGTTAGGGTGACCTGCCCAAGAATTAGTGTGAAGAATTTTTTCTCTGTATCTTTTGTCATAATAGCCATTACTAAAATGTTAATATTGGTTACGGTTGTAAATATTTGTTTCTTTTGATGAACTATGAATATAATTTTCTGCTTGTTCGTTTACTTTTACACCCTTCCTTTTTATAAACATATGACCATCTTGAAGTTGCACTTCCTCAACACCTCCATTTTTGGTTTACTTCTGCACATATTTAGACCATCGTACTGTATCCTACATAATCTTATGGTCTATTTTGTTATTTTTTACAAATTCTTGCTTGCCATTCATTTTTTATTATACATGTTTGTTGATTGGTTTTTGTATCTTTGAACTTTATTGTTAGAATTTACCATCACCTACCACACACTTACCATCACCTACCACACACTCACCTACTACACTCACCTACTCCTCACCTACCACCACCTAACCTACATCTATATAATCAATCAATTGTAACAGAATCAATATCTATCAATAAATCAATAATACATAAATTACATAAATTCTTACATTTATTTTATTGAGTTTTAATTTCTTTCCATCAATGATTGGTAGGTTTGCAATGAGGCTGGTATCACTCTGGAGACTGAAACTAATCCAGCTACCTGTTGTCGTCAAGGGAACCATCAGCTGGTTCTTGATGAACAAATTGGACTAAGATGCAAATTTTGTCCTTTTGTGGCATTGGAGATTAAGCACATTTTACCATCTGTTGTAAGTCATCTAACCGTTGTCTTTCTAAACTTTCTAGTTGCTAGCACTGTATTGGTTGCTCGTTAATAGTTTTTTTTATCTGCAATGAGTGCATAAAAATTTTCCAGTCATCTTCAAAACATGGCTAGTTTAATGGAACTAGCACTAGACTCAGGGATGTATGATTGTCAATTTAGTTAGGTGGTAGTTGAGTTGCAGTCTTCACGCACCAGTTAAGATCTGATCCTACTGCATGAGCCTTGTAGCAATTCTTGCTGAGTTTTGGCCCAAATTCCAACAATTTGTTGTTTGATTTTTGTTACGTTGTTCTAGTTGTTTTGTTCCTACTTGAACTTGATATACTATCATCCCTTCATATAATCATTCTAGTGCACGAATTAAGCTGAGACTTTGGCTTAATAGTGCAATCTTCGTCAGGGTCAGATGCCATGTTGAAAGATGCAAAATCTACCACTATTCTTGCTTGGTGTTGAGTGGGTATTCCCTTGGAGTGTTGGCTAGCTTCTTTGTTCTCAGAGAGGAGCTTGGGTTGGGAGGAGGAGGAGAAGTCTGGGTTCATGGCGGACAGAATTGAAGAAATTTGTATGTGAAAGAAGAGCCTATTTTAGATTAAAGAGTAGATTATTGTCTTTTTTGTGTAGTTGGTTTTCGGGGGTGATCAATCCATCCTTGAACCAATTTATAGGTTTTGTTGAGGCCTTTGAATATGTTTTGATGTATAAATGGATAGGATTTGTTTATATATGGGTTGCACCTCCTTGGTGCATCTTTAGTATAATTTTCCTATTCATTAATTAAATGTTGAAATATGCATCCTTGTAACTCCATCTCGTTTAGAAAAAAAACAAAGAAATTGAGTTCATCATTTTTTAATCCCTATAGCAATTTTTTTTGTAAGCTTTGCTTCATTTAATTATCTGGTTCTATGCTAACTTGGTTTTGCATGCAGGGTAAGCATCCCTTGTGGGGATTCTACAGGAAAGACTTCTGCAAAACAGACCATTTCAGTCTTGATGAGCTTCAGTTCCAGGACTCGGCTTTTGCATACCAATCTGGTTCCAAACAATACATTCGTGAGGAAGAAGGCACAGTGTGGGACATCATTCCTGGTGTTAAACGTAGCATGTATCCACATCAACGTGAAGGTTTTGAATTTATTTGGAAAAACATAGCCGGAGACATTTACCTTAAGGAGTTGAAGGAAAAGGCTTTTGGTGGTGGAAGTGGATGCATCATATCTCACGCCCCCGGTACTGGTAAAACCCGTCTCACCATAGTATTTCTCCAGACATACATGAAATTATGTGGAACGTGCAGGCCAGTCATTATTGCTCCCTGTAGCATGCTCCTTACCTGGGAAGAAGAGTTCCGGAAGTGGAAAGTTGACATACCCTTTCACAATTTGAACACGCTGGAGTTTTCTGGGCGGGAAAACCCGAATGCTGTTAGTTTACTGACAAAATATGGACGCCAAAGAAAAAATCATGACTCTATTCGTATGGTGAAGCTGTATTCGTGGACAATGGATAGAAGTATTCTCGGGATCAGTTATAGATTATTTGAGAAACTTGTGGGAGATAGTGTTCTTGCTGATGCAGGAACTAAAAGGGCAAAATCTAAACATTTTAATTGTGGTGAGCAAGTTAGGAGAATGCTACTTGAAATTCCTACTCTTTTAGTCCTCGATGAAGGCCACACCCCTCGGAATGACCAGAGTCTCATCTGGAAGGCTGTTTCAAGAGTCGAAACTCAAAAGCGGATCATCTTGTCGGGGACTCCTTTCCAAAACAACTTTAGCGAGCTGTATAATACCCTTTGTTTAGTTAGACCCAAGTTCACTGACGGTAAAATTTCTGAAACTCAAGGGGATTCTACAAGGAAACGAGGGCTGAAAAGCAGTGCAGAAGCAAGAGGGCAATGGGCTTCTCTGACAAGTACGATTGGTAAGGATGCTGATGATAATGATAGGCTCAATGAGCTCAAAACCATGATTAAACCGTTTGTGCATGTACACAAAGGTTCAATACTTACAGAAAGTCTTCCAGGCTTGAGAGACTCTCTGGTTGTTTTACAGCCAACCCTTCTGCAGAAAACCTTGATTGAAGTCATTCAAGGAAGGAAAAACCCTCTTGAATTGGATTATCTCGTATCTTTGATTTCTGTCCACCCTTCTCTGTTGCTTGCATGTGGTTTATCTGCACAAGAACAGCTCTCTGTTGACACAAATAAGCTAGAAATGCTTAAGCTTGATCCCGGAGCTGGCGTCAAAACAAAATTCCTTGTGGAACTCATTCGGCTTAGTGAGGCACTGAAAGAAAAAGTTTTGGTTTTCAGTCAATTTATTGATTCACTGACCTTCATAAGACGGCAACTGACATCTCATTTTGATTGGACAGAAGGTAAGGAGGTGCTTTATATGGATGGGGCACTTGACATTAAGCATCGACAATCCTCGATTAGTTTTCTTAATGATCCTGAGAGTGAGGTTCGAGTACTGCTTGCATCAACGAAGGCTTGTTCTGAGGGGATAAATCTGGTTGGTGCTTCAAGAGTTGTTTTGCTTGATGTTGTTTGGAACCCATCCGTAGAAAGGCAAGCTATAAGCCGTGCATACAGGCTTGGCCAGAAAAAAGTTGTTTACATCTACCATCTCATCATGTCCGGAACAAAGGAGGGAGAGAAGTATCTAAGACAGGCTGAGAAGGACCGATTGTCCGAGCTGGTATTTTCTTCTGTAGATGGAGTTCATAAGCCTGAAATCTCATGCACAGTTGCTGAAGATATTGTCTTGCAAGAGATGGTTCAGCACGAGAAGACCAGCCATATGTTTGAAAAAATACTGAACCAACCAAAAGAATCCAATTTAATCGACACTTTTGGTTAGGTGGATTTTGTCGAACTTCTAAACTGGATCTGTTGCTGAGAAATCATACATGGTATTTGCCATTTGTCAATTTGAGCTGGAAACCTGTTGATTGGTATGTTTCCCATCCATTTTTTGTATTTAATGGGTGATTGAGTTGTTTTGAAATTCTTGATAGTAACTAGTGAATAATAATTCAAATTTTATAGTTTTGAGAAAGGATTTTGTAGTGATTAACATCAAATTTTATAGTTTGAGCTGAATGAAATCTTTTTGGTAATCTTGCAACTTTTAATTCCTTGGGGTGATTAAACATTGTTTCTTGATAGAGTTTGTTTGGATCTGATTATTAGACTGCTGCTGCTGCTCTGTGCCCATGAGTGATGTTTTCTTTTATTTTTTCTTTGTTTTTTGTTTTGTTTTTGTTTTTTGGGTGTATACATGACTTAGCTGGAAAGGTGGCTTGGCCTGGACTTTTCATCGCATCTCTGGTGATGCAGTTTTGAGCCACGGAAACTACCTCTCCAAAAAGGGTGATAAAATTCATACATCTTACCTTTCTAGACCCCGATTTTGCAGGTGTTTCGCACTGAGTTGCCTTTTTGACACATTGACTTCGGTGCAGGAAATGTGTACAAGTTTGAAGCGTTGTACATATACCCCATCATATTATTTATTTCAGTTCTGTTGTTAGGTTATTCTGGGTAAGACCCCGATTTTGCAGGTGTTTCACGCTGAGTTGCCTTTTTTACACATTGACTTGGGTGTAGGAAATGTGTACAAGTTTGAACCGCTGTACATATACACCATCATATTATTTATTTCAGTTCTGTTTTTAGGTTATTCTGATTTGAAAGCAGTCTCTAATTCTGGACTAAATTCATTATAGTTTATAACTGCATATGCATTGAGGGGGATGAATTAGAACAGGAGAGAGAATATGGGAAAACTTGATCCAAGTTAGATTTTTTTTTTGGCTCCTTTATCAATGCTTAAGAACCAAATTGCTTAAATGAGCAAAGCAACTTGTATTGTATGTGCTCTAGGAACCTTGTCTGCATCTCCATTCTTGCGTGAATTCTCAACATTTGCAAAATCAGTTTTTTCAGTTTATTTAAACTATTTTTGCATAATAATAAGCAAAAATTATACCAAACAGTCTAGTACAAATTCTCAAATTAAAATAAATTATAATCACCTCTTAGCATATGTAGCATTTTTTTAAAGATTCGTATTGGTATTGATCATGTGGTCTTATATTTACTAATATAATAGTTAAATAAGGTTTTCTTAGTACAACCAAAAAAAGTTCAAACCTAGTATCTGTAGTAAATCGTTCTATTGTTTAATTGTAATTGAAGTTATTGCCAAAGAAAAATTATAGTTCCAAAAAGTGAAAAACAGAGAAGACATTTTATGTATAATATTGTAAGAATTCTCATTCATTTATTTTACACTAGAAGTTGTGATATTAGCATGATTGATTCTGAAAAATGATATTAAACTAGAAGTTGTGATATTAGCAAGATTGATCTGAAAATGTTGTTTGGCGATGCACTAAATAATTGTACATATTTGCTTATGTCATTTTATATTTTTATTTATTTACATTTTTTTTTGGTAAAAAATTAAAAATTCATTTGGCTGTGAGTTGAGACTAAATTAGCAACTAAAAGATAAAATAGGTTAAAAAGTATCATATTCAGATCATAATCATTACATTTTTTTTCTCATAAAAATCAAAAGAACCAAAAAAATCAACCTAGACGAACTTTTAAGATGATTTAAATAAGTATATTTTTTTATTTTTTATGAAAAAATGTGTAAAAAAATAGCGAGGTAATATAACTCAAATAAGTAAATTTATCTAAATAAGTGTACTTATTTAGTTTATACCAAATAACTACTAAAAAAGTCCCAACCTTAAAAGGTCCACTACAAAATTTTTTACTAAACGATAACTAAATAAACAAATCCCAAACCATAAATTTAAAACTTGAAAACTGAAATAATTTTTAAAATTGAAAATTAAAAGAGTTTTAAGGCAAACATTTTCTATGTTTTGTTTCAAAAGTTAACATATTATTGTAGAGCAAATTAATACTCCTTCCATCTCAAAATATTAGTTTCTTATTTTATTTTTTATTGTTTTAAAATATTAGTCCATTTAAAAAAATTAAAGATTAAAATAATATGAATTTTCTATTTTGCCCTTCTTTTAAATTCATTAATAATACAAAAAGTACAATTATGATAATTAATATTTTCCAAAAAATATACTTTCAAAAGATAATTTTAGAAAATCAATATTTTTAAGGAATAATAATTATATTATCAAAAAAAAGTTGAATTCTCCAAAAAAAGACTATTATTTTGGAGCAAATGGAGTAACAAAAATAAATGACGGATTTTAAACTAACTTGTATGTTCACATTATACATAGGCCTCGTTTGGCAAGAGGCTATTTTAGTCAATTAGTCAAAAAGTTACTAAATTAGCCAAAAAGCCAACAACCCATACCAAAAAGTCAATAGTATACATATAATTTTTAAGAGTAATATTATACAAATAAAAAAATTATGTACATAATTTTCATGCATAATAATGTGATTTATTATAGATTATTTCACTTCAAAACAAAATATAATTGAAGATAAATTTATTTATAATAATAATATTCTTATCAAGTTTTTTATATGAATTTGATATATGTTTAGAATTTTTAAATACATATATATTACTGGAAAAAATAGAACCAATTTCGATGGGTCAACATTCAGCTCAACCCTGCTTTAGCATCGGATCCAAACCCGGGATTGGGGCCCGACCCAACCAATTTCAGCCTATAAAATCCGAAGCCAGAAAACTAGGGTTCCTTCTCGTCTCCATCTACCAGCCGCTTCGATTCTCTGCGAAAACCCCTAGTCGCGACCCAATTGAAGATGGTACTCTCTCTCTCTCTCTCTCTCCCCGTTTATAGTTCACGATTCATTTCAGCTTGATTCAATAATTCACATTATTTGTAGAGAGTTCTTTCACGATTGAGTTTTTTCAAGATCGTGTTTTTATTTTGTGTGTTCAAGTTTTGAAATCATTGACTGTTTAAACTCTTGCTCTCAAATTTCAAATATGCATATTTTGAAATAATTCGTGTTTAATTATGCATATACTGATTAACAACGTAGGAGCATATTTAGCAGCTAGATCAGCCATGTACATGCACTAGCAGCCCAGGTGTTTATTCTTAATGTTTTGGATTTTTTAAGATGTTTGGTTTGTTTTAAAGCAAACAAAACCACTAAAATGAACCTATTTTCCCCATCTATTGTGATAAGAACACCAGAAAATGGGCAGGCACTGGTCCAAGAACACACATACTACTGTTTCATACTTAACTTAGGTCGCCATCAAATTCATTTAGGCTGTGTTTGATTCAAGGATTTGGGGAGGGATTTGGAAAGGCAAAAGGAAAAGGTGTGTGAAATTAAGTGAAATGTAGTTATATTTTATTCACATTTTACGTTTTCCTTTCCCTTTCTCTATCCAAATCTCTCCTCAAATTCTTGAACCAACACAGGTTTAGGGTCTGTTTGGATGGATGTGAATTTTAAATCAAGGGATTTGAGGTTGAAAATATTGGAGAGTTAACTATTATAGGTGGAGAGGGAAACTATAGAAGAAGATAGGTTGAGATAAAATAGATGTATTTTAATAGGATGGGATCCAAGAAAAGTGTATCTTTAGGATGCGTTTAAATAATTACTTTTATATGTAGTTAGTTTGAATCTATCATAATATTGCTATTTAATGCAATCTTGAAATTAATATGTAAACTATCAAATTTAAATTTGTGTTATTCTCCTTGAATAATTAATGTTGAAATCGTCAAATTCAGGCATTTCAAATCCAGATCCATCCAAAACAGACCCTTAGTTACGTCAAAGTAATAAAAAGAATCAATCAATACATTTAAAAATCATTCTTACTCTAATGACATACTACAATGTCCTCCATCCATATATATACATACACACAACATCATCAATCTCCATCCAGATATATATGTACACACAACATCATCAATCTTCATTCGTATATATACATACACAAAACATCATCAATCCTTACTTCCCATCTAGCAGTGTATCCTATGTTACATGGGCTTGGGTGCGGGTGTCAGGTACAGGTGTGTATCTAAGGGTTGGACACATCAAATCTCTAAATAAAGGATACGTGGACTCGGCTAAAATGTACCCAAAAATTAGATTCTGGTACGTGGATACGGCAAAAAGTATTGAAAAAAATTAGCAAATGTCTAATCCTGCTATGTTTTTTTTTATACTATGTTTTTAGTATCTAAATCTGAAATTTTTATTTTACTGCAGAATTTTGGTTTGGACAGACTGAAATTAGTTGGATTAGAGTTTAATAATATGAAGAGTGAAAAGTTAGTCCAATTAATATTGTAACTATAAAGTGTTGTGGCCCAAACAGTGATAAAGTTTGGGCAGGCCTGTTATCATTATTTTAAAAGTGTGGGCTGGCCCATTATGATTATTCTTTTTTGTTGTTGATTAAAACAATAGCTAAATCAAAAGTAGAAGGAAAAAAGAAAAAGAAGATGAGAGAAGAATCTACCACGTAAGAAGAGATAAGATTTTGACTGGAGAAGTCTTCTCTCTCCTTCGGCAAGGACTCCTCTCTCTCTCTCTCTCTCTTCGGTGATTGAAAGACTACGACCAACGTGAATCGGCATCTATTGCGCCTGAATCTTCCCCAATCTCTGTTTTTCTTCGTTGATCTACCCAATCACTGGTTTGTCTTCCTTGATTTGCCGTATCGTTTTGCAAAGTGACGTATCTGAGCTGAATTTCACACCTGTGTCAGTGTCGTGTCGTGTCGACACCAGTATTGGCCGGAAAATGACGAGCCCCTGTAATGTAGAGTGTATCATTGGACAACTATATGCGCTACCGAGTAATAGGTTTTTCAAGATTTGTTTTGTTGGACTTAACCAATACAATTGGAATTAACATCGTCATGGACATTATTTTTCAAAAAAAAAAAAAATAGCACCCATGACCCAACATATTTTTATGAAAAGCAATGCATGGGCAATAACTTAAAAGTTAAAATAAAAGGCTTATGTGCATAACCTATCTCCTAAAGAAGGTCATTTCTCGGTTCAAGCCTCTTAACTTGGTTTTTACTTCTAAATTGAAACCAAAGTCATTGTTATCATCAAAGAAAATGGCCGTAGTTGATTTCTAAACAATAGAGAAAGCATAAGAACAAGTTACTACCCAATGTTTTAAAAGGCGTGTGCCTAAGCGCGAGGTGCAATTGCGCTTCAAACGAGTCGAGGCGAGGCGCAATACGCAAGGTGCAACTTAGGCTCTGAGGCGAGGACTTTTTTTCGAAGCGCAAGGTGTGAGCTTCATGGGCTTTACTTATTTTCCTACTCTAGCTGTTGATTAAGTGCTTTTTGTGTGGGTATACCCACGGTGATTCAAAACTCTTCAAATATAAAATGACTAAACGTGATCAAAAGAGAGTAGAAAGTGATAAAATATTGAATGTTATGCTTTATATGTTTTGTTGAATATTATATATCTAATTTTTAGAAGATTAAATGTTATGTTTAAAGATTATCGGAAATGATTATGATTTTTGAAATTCTATATATATTTGTTATGTTGAAAAATTTGTTTGTTTTATAATTTTGCTTTTCTTCTACTGCTTGTGCTTTGCTTTGGTGAGGCATGTGTCTTGCCTCGTGTCTCGCGCTTAGGCTATAGGAGACCTTATCGCCTTGGTGCAGCTAGAGCCTTTTAAAACACTGATACTACCAATTGTTGAAAATAAAAGGGAATTTCTCTGAGCTCCATGTTGAATATATTAATTGTGAAAAATTATAAAAGTAATTGTTCTTTTAATAAATTTGCAGTCATTATATCATGTCAAACCAGAGAATAATAAAATTCCACTGTCGAAGTTTCTTTTTCCCACAAACTGTCTCCTTTGTTTCCTCGTACTTGTTATCTTCCATGGGAATTGTTGCAACAAAAAATGAATAAAATAAAGTGCTGAGCTTGTGTGATGACATGGTTTTGTAATCCAAACACGTGCAGCTGTACTAATGATTCTTTGCAAGTTTTAATTTTATATTGGTTTTACATTCTCTCTCTTCTCAATTGCATTTTGTTATTTCCCTAGTTAGAATTTTGCCTTTTTATTTTATTCTATTCTCTACTTAATCAATTTTTACACATTCATTTCTTTTGAGATCTTGGAAGATTATGTGTGTACTGTCTGAAATAATTGTTTCCATGTAATACTTTGTTTTGAATGCATTTCACTTTTGATTTAGACAAAAAAGGTATCATTTCGGGTTGACTATTTTTCAAGAATGGTTATGGTTTTAAATTTTCCCTTTTCAATAATTTTTGTTTTGTTTGGTATTGATGCTTACAAGTTTTGAGGTAGAACTTTTTATTAATGGATTTTCTTTGGCGCAGACTAAGCGAACGAAGAAGGCTGGTATTGTTGGAAAGTACGGTAAGTGATAAGCGACTATTGTTAATTTGATTGCTCGATGCTTCTGTTGCGTATAGTTTCATCAACAACTTTGCATGTTAGATTGTTAAATTTACCAACATGCTGTCTTGTTTTTTTCAATTAGGTGGTAATAATGGTCTTAGGTAGCATTATGGGCTAGGACAAAAAAGTTGTCTTATACAGTTATTTTAGTGCGATCTTTCATAATATTTGTTTTAAATATTGTGTTATAGGCTATGGAACAAAGTTCTTTTTTATGTTTCATTTTTTGAGCGACTTATAGAAAATATTTTTTGGTGTGTGATGTCTGCCCAAATAGAAGGACTGTTATGTGTGGTAACCTAAGAAGTATGGATACGGACATGCGACATGACACGGATACAATACGGACATGCCGACACACGAATTTTCAAAAAATGTAGGATACGGCACGTAGGGGATACACATGAAATATATAATTTTATATATTTATTATTTGTTATATATATGAATATATCATTTAAAAATAATAAAAAATGCAATATGATACTAATTCCTATAAATTTATATGATTTTTGTTTTATTATTATATTTTAAGTTGTTTTGTTCAAATTTATAATTAGTTTCACTAGTGTCTAATCATGTGTTTAAGCTATAGACATATGTGTCCTCCAAGTGTCCAGAGAATGCCCAAGTCTTTAAAAAAAATGAAAAAGTAGGACATGTTTTGAAGAGTGTTGGATACGTGTCAGGGAAGTGTCCAAAGAGTGTCAGGGTCCGACACGGACACGACACAGATATGTCACTTTTTTAGAAGTATCCATGCTTCTTAGGTGGTAACAATTTAAACTTTTTAAAAATGTACCATAAAATGAGTAAATAAGTATATTGAGGAGGCCATAGAGTTACTGTTCATTTATGTATTTATGAAGGCTCTGGTAACTGGACTTGTTATTTCAGGCATGATTTGTTTTCTCTGTTTCTGGTTCTAAGATTTATTTATCAATGCATTATATTCAACTATTTAAAAGCAAACCTGATATGACTATCAAGATTCTGATTCAAGAATATTCCATGAGCTGTATATTGGTGGTGTTTGGAAAGTTTGTGTGTTGGTTTTTATTTTTTTTTTTCCACTAAAAAGGCAAACTTTTTACAAAATCAAAAAAAACAAATCCAAATAAAATATCACATCCAACCCTATAATCATTTCACTTTTTCTCTCACAAACATCATATCCAACCACAAAAAAACCAACTATCTTTCCAAATACCAAATTTTTTTTCTCCAATAATATTCTACAACTAAAAAAACCTACATAAAAACTCACTTTCCAAACACCCACATTTTTGCAATTCTAATTTATTATCTGGATTTTTGTTTTGTCATCACAGTTTCACATTTGTATGGCATATGCATTCCCCAACTTTTCTTTTTTATTATTACACCCCACTCCACACTTATAGTTGGTCCTTGCACAGAATTCCTGAATTCCTAATTTGCCATTGATACCAGGTACCCGTTATGGTGCCAGCCTGCGAAAGCAGATTAAGAAGATGGAGGTTAGTCAGCACAGCAAATACTTCTGTGAGTTCTGTGGGAAGGTATGGAAATTCTTGATTATATCAATTAGTTGCGTATTGTTATTGTTGAACTGTCTTTTTGCAATTATTCATGACCTTGATTTGAATTTTGTTTTTTTGCTAAATCAAATATTCAACTGTTTGCAGTATGCTGTGAAGAGAAAAGCAGTGGGGATTTGGGGTTGTAAGGATTGTGGCAAAGTCAAAGCTGGCGGTGCATACACATTGAAGTAATTTTCTAATATTTATAATTTTTTCCCTCCTGGTTTTCGGTTCATGTTCATTATATATGGAACTGATACCCCCTGTTTTGTTTTTGCAACAGCACCGCCAGTGCTGTGACAGTTCGGAGCACAATTAGGAGGCTGAGGGAGCAAACTGAGAGTTGAGCGAGATAGCATCTGCCCTTTCTATGTCAATTGTGTTAAATGTTTATCTAGTCTTGGAAACTCGAGTAATTTCCCAGTTCTTTCTAATTTTTGAAGACTTAGTTGAAAGGTAGTGGAAATTTGTCAGAGCTAAGTTTTGATGTTGGAGATCATTAATTGCTATTATTCATCAAGTGTTGTGAACAGAGTTGTGTTTGGGTTAAAGCTATTGAATTTTGCCATGATCTGTTGTTTGTGGTGGTTCATTTTATAGTTCACCAAATTCAAAATTATTTATTGCTGGTATGCATATTCCTTGTCTTAGAGGGATCCGATTAGGGTTTTGTTCTAATTGTTGTTTCTCGCTGTCAACTATTGTGTTGTGTTATTGCTTTCAGCTAGTCTGACAAACAAGGAAGTCATGTCTTTAATTCCGGCTCACACCAAACTTGCCAAGCCTCAACGTAGTTTGTTGGCACTTCATTCCTGACCAAAAACAGCTTAACCCGGGGTCACCTGCTTGATCAAAGTTGAAGTACGTGGGGTCAATTTGAAAAGAAGACGCACTGCTTCAATGGTTTGATATAACAGACGAGCAGCTCTACGTCTTTTAGTGCTGTATCTTCCAAAACATTTGCTTCTAGGCATTGCTGTTCAAAAAAAAGTAAAGAAAGAACCCTTCTAGGCTGATGGGACTAGTCCTACTTGCTCTTGGCCTTGGCTGCTCAGAGTAGAGACATCCCTTTAGTTTGTCGGCAAGGTTTGGAACCCTACTGTGAGAGGGACGCTTCACGAGCCGGGCTTCTAGAGATGAGGTCATTTGGCCAAGCCAACTCAATTTCGGGCCACCAAACCTTGCAACTAATGAGAAGGCCTATTGAATAAAGGGAAGCATGTCCATTTGTAAAGAACATTCTTCTCTCGTAAATCACGGAGTCAACTTCTCACGTTCACTTCCTACGTTTTCCATCTTAAGTACTAATTATTAAGTCTTCTAGTAACTTCATGTGACTTTATGTCCAACTAATGATGTTTTGTGACAATCATCAATCATTTTATTTATTTTATAGTTTTTTTAGACCACATAAATACATAGCCAGTCGTTATAGTGTTCTAGAAGAGAGAAGGAATATATTAGTCCGCCATCTGTCTACACTTCAATAAAAATGACGTTAACGACAACTGTTTATATCATGTTGCCTACTTTAATTTGAGAGAAAAAAAAAAAGTACAAATTCTTCCTGGAAGGGGTGAAAGTAAAATAAATTTAAGTTGAGAGATTCAAATGAACAGTTTTAAAGTTGAGGGATAAACTGAAATCTAGAAAGGCCACGTGTCTACCCAGTACAAATATATTTATAACTTTTTTTTTCTTTTTTTCTTTTTTTTTTTATGTAGCAAATATATTTAGTTACATTTACAATAAGGAACCAAAACAAAGGTGAAACCCTATGCTGATCTCAAGCACCTTAGTGCGCTATCCTTAAACCATGCTTTTATGTACATTATTGAAGCTAAAAAAGAAGGAACAACAGAGGAACCCATCTTGCCCCTCAGTCGGCCACTGAATATGGTTACAAGCAGGTCCCTGTCTTAGCATATCATCTATCAAAAAAGGGAATTTAATTCGAGGATCCGGCAGATGAAAGAGAAAAAAACTTCTGCTTTATATCTTCTCTCGCCTCCCTTGCTTTCTGTAATCAAACATTTTGTATCCGTATATCATCATTGTTATTGTTGTGATACATTTGGTTTTGCACAGCCTTCACAGCTGCAACTCTTGCTGCATTGGCTGCTTTGTTAGCCGCTGTCACAGCTTTGTTCACCCTCTCATTCACCTTTGCCATATTAACTGCTTTCTCAGAGGCTCGTCGTGCTTCCTGACAGCAAGGCAACAACAAATAAAGAAAATTCACTTTAGTAGCAGGTTTTGTTAATTAATGCCACGTCGGGTGTTGCATTAGATATTAGATCACCTTGTTGACTTGAGCCCATGTGAAATATTTGTATCTTTTATGGTGATGAAACAATGACAATGAATTAGCCAAGTAAACACCACCAGAAGAAAAGTTCTAAATCTAAAAAGGTGGAAAAGACACCAATTGGTTATGACTCAACAAAAAGTTAATGGAAATTGTCTCCATTTATATTCCAAATTTTCGGGACAATGTAAATGACTGTTATACAACAAACTTGCAAGTTACTTGAAAGGGACTTAACAGGCAGTAGGGTTTGAGCTGTTCTCTACAAGCCACAAAAGGATATTGAACATAGTTCCATTGCTTGTAAAAAAGAAGAAAACCTAACATGCCCAGGTTGCTTTCCTAAGGTTGTCAAGGCTTTAAGATTTTTTAATTGATAGGGTCAGTTTGGTGACTCAACTCAAAAGTCCTGACATATAACTTCACTTTCGGGAAAAAAGGCACAGAAGCATCCTTAAACAACGAAGGCAAGAAAATTCAATTACCTGCACTGCATTAAGAATTTTGGAATGGTTAATTGCAGAGGAAGATCCAGGAAGGGTGCCTTCAATGCTTGACACATTGAGAACCCCGTTTTGCCAGTGGCCTGATTGAGTATCCCCATTTCTGAATGTGTACATACCAAGCCCTTGCCTTCTTCCCTCGTGCCAAGCTCCCTCATAACAATGTCCATTCCCAAAATGGTACACCCCAAAACCATGCATCTTATCAGCAAAGTATTCTCCAGCATATTTGTCCCCATTTCTGCAAAATCATGTATAGCAGAAAATCTAAGAAAAAAGATAAACTGAAATCCACATGCAACTGCGAAAGCATGGAGCATGACAATTATTACCAATAACTCTATTTTGAACAATTGTTGTTGCTCAGCAACTTTGCTTGTAGTATTTTAATCAAACGAAGGTGTGCATAACATATAAAATGCCCACCTGATGAAATCTAGAAAGGCCACTTTGGAAGCTGGAGAAAAGGGCTATTTCAAAGTTTCGAATATTTTCCACCTTCCCCAACAACCAGACAAGCTATGTGATACATATAGTAATATTCTGAAGATGAAACCAAGAAATCCCTAAATTTGATCAACTTGAATCTATTTTATGGATAAAGATAAGGTGACTAACTACCACATAATTCACTCAATATGTGCTGGACATATTTTTGGATGCAGGACATGGGGTTAATGCTTGTGGTGAACATATGCCTCATTTCAATAATTAATCACAATTCAGTAATACAAATTAGAAATTTGGTTGCTATGTGGCACATTAAATACTTCAATATGTGGGAATTCAAAAATGAACTGGAGAGGAAACAATAGCTTATTAAGGCAACAAAGCATTGCTTTAGATATGTACATATCAGAAATATGATGGTATTTAGCAAAGAGTCCTGGGCATTGATAATAATCAGTGTTTAAGCTTGAATTATGGAATATAACCAGCTGAGCATTTAATTAATAAGTTGGTGTAATTTGAACCTATCCAAAATGTTGAAGATTTTTATCAAAATTATCACAAGCAATAGTCAATCATATATAAACTGTACGTGGTTCAACATCCTGAACTATTTGCTTAGCTTTTCACACTAATACCATAGTACCAATTTAAATATGAAGCAAACATGTATATACTTATGAGCCAGCCCAGAAACTAATGAGGTCCTAGACCTTTGTTGCTAGACCTCGGATTGATGTTGTTGGAGAGATTGACATGCATTGTTTACATGTCAGCTTCTTTCCTAACAACTTAAGCTTCTGGGTCTAGTGGTGATCTAACATAGGATCATAGCCTTGGTTTCGGAGGGGTCTTGGGTTCAAGTAGCTCTATTTACATTTGATCCCTGGTTTGGTATGTTTGTCTCTCCACGTGCAAGATGGGTTGCACATGAAGGAGGGCATTTGACAACTTAATACACATTATTGGGGACCTTTCCTAATCGTTTGAACTTTTGAAACCAGTGGTGATCTAACAGGTATGGATTCAGGCCTCAAAAAACATTGCTGGACTGAGAAAGGCAAGTGACCTTCAGCATTTAATATGACAGACTAGAGTGAGAGTGCGGTCATACCAAAAAGCCCAGATGGTGCTATGAATGAGAGAGTTGGGTTGCCATTTTAGGAGGTAACTGTGATGGCTGCAAGGGCCTCAAATAGATTGCAAATCTAAAATTTCTTGAGGTGGTGTTCCTTATATCATACGTAAATGATTGAGCTACCAAAGAAAATAATCCGCAAATAAAGGAGAAATGCAAACAAAGTAGATTCAATTAATCCGTTCAATATTGTTTGAGAAACCAAAAATGCCATCCTCTCTTGATGAAAGTTCCTAGACAATGTAGACCATCCTATTCCCAACACTAATAAAAACCTAATACCTTCAGTGTATATCAACACAAGAATGGTGAATATACATAAGTAAAAAAAAAGCAGCTCAACTTATCCTGCATTTTCTTGTGTGGACATGATGCCTTGCTAACTAAATATGATTCTACCAGCTAAATTAAACAATTAAAACCAAAATATCCAAATTCACAACCCAATTTCAACAACAAAGCAAATTAGGCACTCCACAAGGACAATGTCTAACATCAAATTGGAAGATGATGTCCATAATCAAGTTCATGAAATAGGTGCAAAATTTATCAATGTTATAACCCCAAAAGCAAGAATAAAAAATACAACAGAAAAACACGGTCTACTAACTTAAGACAACCCCTTGAAGAACATACTAACCATGAATTGAATAAATCAAACATTAGCATAAGCACCAACTAGTGAAACTCAACAAACTGAATGTGAGAAATTACCTAAAATGGTAGTGACCGAGCCCATGTTTGACGCCCCATTTGAACTCCCCAAAGTACCGGCTCCCATCCTCACAAGTGTAGACTCCACACCCATGACACTGACCATTACACCACTCCCCAGCATAGACATCGCCAGTGTAAAACCTATAAACCCCAAACCCATTCCTTAAACCCTGCCTATACTGTCCCCGGTACCGACTCCCTTTTGCCCATGTTTCCACACCATACCCATCATACTTGTCATCAATCCAATCCCCCTCATACCTCCCACTCATGTAATAGTAATAAACCCCACTTCCAGAGCACTTCCCTTTATGAAATTCACCCTCATACACATCTCCATTGCTATAAACTTGTACCCAAGACCCCGAATTCGGTCTTTTTTCTGGTTTTGGCTTTGACCCAATCGACCAAACAACTGGTGTGCGAGGCTTTAAGGCTGTGGTTGTTGAAGATGACTTAAATGGAGATGATCGAGCAATAAGGGATCGAATTGAAGGAAGGCTAGGGAGGGCTAGATTGAGAGAAATCACAAGAGTGGCTGAGAAAGCAAGAATTGATAGGAAATGGAGAATAAAAGTGTTGGTTTGGTTTGAGGCGAAGAAGTAGAGACAAGGCAATGAAAGTAGAACGATGAAGCGAAAACGAAACCCATCAAACCGAAAACCGCAAAGACAGCGAGAGAGTCTCAGAGCGATTGATTTAGTGGCTAAAGCTACTACAGCGAATGAGGAAAAGTAAAGAAGAGAGGGTTGAGAAGGTTCTGAATTGAACACAGTGGTGTTGTGGTGGTGGTGCTGGTGGAGAGAGGAGAGAGTTGGGGAGTGTAACATTATAGGTCTTTTGTGGGGTGTCGTTGAGAAAGGGGTTTTGCTTGTTGATGGGTTGTTGGAATTGGGTTCATTCTCAAACTGGGTTTGCTTGGAATTTTGATGGGTTGGTTTGGATTGGATTGTTGAATGGTTTTGGGTATGAATTTGGAGGTGTTTTTTGCGGATTGAGTTGAAATCAGAAGAGAGGAGACTGGTTTGTTTTCTGATCTCTAGTTCAGACAACTTCTGATGCATTTACATACAAGGAAAATGGATTTCTATTCTTCTTCCTCTACTCAATTTTCTGTGTATGTATATTGTATACATAAATGTTGTGTGTATATACAGGTTGGTGTGTGATTATGGTGTTTCTGGTATTTTTGGATGTTGGGTTAAGTAATGTTTTTATGTCCCTCTGGCTTTGGCTCTGGCACTGGGAGAAGACAAAAAACAGATGGGGTAGAGAGAGAAAGAGAGAAAGAGAGAGAGAGAGATTACTTGGAGTGGGGATAATGAGAAATTGGGAGCTCTCTTTAAAAAGCCTTGGCTTCAATGCTGATTCACTAATGTGCCACCATCAAGTTACATGATTTGGTTCACTATTTTTTATTTTTTATTTCTTTTTAATTTTAATTTAATTTTTGCATTTTATTTAACTTTATTTTTTTTTTCTTTTCAAAAAACATCACAAACATTTTTTTGGTGTGCACGTGTGCGCTTGTTATTCCTAGTAATTACATCACATAAGATTCATTAAAATTTAAATTAATTGAAGTTAAACAAAGTTGATGATCATGGGTAGCAAGCAAGACCCACATAAATTAGAAAGGATGACATTAAAATCATGAAAATTCTTATAATATACTTTTAAAAGAAAGTATATTATATGTCTCGGTTATAATTTTTTATAATATTTAATTATGATATATTGTAATTTTAATTATGATTTAATTTTGACCAATTACAGTTGTAGTTAAGGAATATTGTTTATGACAGAAAAAACTTTTCCACTGCTATACTAGCAAGCATGTTTCTATATCTCATATTTTCATGGATGAAACTAAGAGAAGACTATGAGTGATTATAACTCTCATGTTTCTGTGAAAAATTATGTTTACCATAATACTTTTAAAATATATATCTTATTTTATAAATAATATAGTAATCTCTCAGTATAAAATATATATATATATCTCATTCATCTACCTTCTTACATTTTTTTTCTTTTATTTTTGGCCAAATTTTTTTATCTGAAAATATATTACTCTTATAGTAGTTGAATATTTTGTTATGTATGTATATAGTTTATAGATCATATTGTATATACATGTGTGTTTGTATATATGATGAAAAAAATTTGTTTCTCTTCGACTCCTTCAGTAATGAAATCTTGGTTTCGTCCCCGCATATTTTTTAAAGAGGATTGCTAAATATGACTGAAATAGTTTATCAATTAACTTTTTATATGAATCCTTATTTTGTAGGATAAGTTTTACTATTTATTAAATATGATGAGTGTTACACATACACATAACTTTTTATTACATTAAGACACCTAAATTGTGAAACAAAATGATAAAATAAAACCAGTGATAAATAACATTTCTATTCTATTAATGGGAAACCCATAAAGTATTTATATTCTCACCACATGTCTCCATTGTTTGCTTCAAAAGTTAAAAGGAAAAAAACTGTGTTTGAGTGAAATATTTTCTCATTACTTGCAGTATTAATTGTAAGAACACCTCAGTTCCTTTATTCTCTCTTTCTCTAATAAAGCGTTGAAAGAGAGATGTTCAACAACTTGAACCACAGCTCAATGAGCTCATCAGTGAATAATAAATCATTTAAAATAAATAAAATAAAAATTATTAAGACCATTTGTGTCATTGAAAGCAAAAAATAATGTTTTGGCATATATACATAACAGTAGTTTGAGAGATGAGAACTATAGCCGACCAAATCACATGCCTTTTAACATATTCCTAATGCCATTTCATGCGGTAGATTCTGTATCTCTCTCTAGATAATGTTCTCCAACACAATTATATATATATATATATATATTAGAGATGTAATTACACACTATATTTATGTGAAACAGTTAAACAAATCATGACAGTTATTAAATTTAAAGCAGTTAGATCAAAAAAAGGTATTTTAACAATTAGATAAAGATAGTTTTAGAAAGAAAAAAAGTAGCGGCTTAAGATTTTTGGACATATGAGGCTAAATATTAAAATGAGGCATCATCTAACTAAATTTAAAAAGTTGGGGCTTTCGACGATAAAAATTTCTTATTTTTTTTTTATTTATTTTTTTGTGAGCCTTAGGTGACAATTTAAATGGCCTAATGATTGAGCCATTTTATGACAAAGTTTTATATCATGATCTTTACAATTTATATAATGAAAAAAGCTTAATTACTCCATGTTAATTATTGATTGGTTTAAAAATAAACTACATAAGATCCAGTCTCATGCCATATCATTAGGGGTGACTTTAGGAGTTTTCCTGTTATATAAGAACATAAAATTCAGCCATAAAAGGAAAAAAAAGAAAAAAAAAAAAAACTTAACATACCAGAAATTATCCAAAATACACAGTATTCTTAGTATTTTTCTGTTATTAGATTAAAAGTGCTCGTAAAGAATTAATAGAATATATTTGCTAGCTTGAAAAGTGTTTATGCAAAAAGCCGTATTAAACTCACATTTATTTTTGCTTTATGACTTAATTTAAAGTGATAGCAATTGTTAATCTATCTATGAGGTGTTAACTTGGGATTAGTCTAATGATAAGAACATATGTAGATTCTCCCTTTTCTTTCTTTCATTTTTTTTTTTTAAATTTTAAATTCCTTATATGTACTCATTTTTATAGGTAATTAAAAAAAATGTTTTGAGAAATGTATCTTCATTTTCTACTCATTTTCTTAACTCAACCAAAAGCCACAATTTTTTATTTTTTTTTATTTTTTATTTTATTTTTTATACTTTATATTCTATCTATTTTTATTATTTAAAATCTTAAATCTAAAAAATACAACAAACAGTTTATTGTGTTCTATGTAAAAATATTAAAAACCTCAAGCTGTATGGTGCAACTTGTCCACCACCTCTTTCTTTTCTTCTCCATAAAGCTAATTAGAATAATTGAGGGCCATCTTTATGTGGCCTTTTTATGTCACTTTTCAGAAGAAAAAAAAGAAAGAAAGAAAAAGTTCAGGAAATTAATAATTCAACACATTATTGTATATAACTTAGTCAACACATGAAGCCTCAATTTACATCCAACAATGCTACCCCTATTGCATTCATCCATGGATCCATCTGCATCAAAACCCACTCAGTCTTTAAAAGAAAGTATATTATATGTCTCAGTTATAATTTTTTATAATTTTTAATTATGATATATTGTAATTTTAATTATGATTTAATTTTGACAAATTACCGTTGTAGTTAAGGAATATTGTTTATGACAGAAAAAACTTTTCCACTGCTATACTAGCAAGCATGTTTCTATATCTCATATTTTCATGGATGAAACTAAGAGAAGACTATGAGGGATTATAACTCTCTTGTTTCTGTGAAAAATTATGTTTACCATAATACTTTTAAAATATATATCTTATTTTATAAATATATAGTAATTTCTCAGTATAAAATATATATATTTCATTCATCTACTATCTTACATTTTTTTTTTGGCCAAATTTTTTTATCCGAAAAGATATTACTCTTATAGTATTTGAATATTTTGTTATGTATGTATGCAGTTTATATATCATATTGTATATACATGTGTGTTTGTATATATGATGAAAAAAATTTATTTCTCTTCGACTCCTTTAGTAATGAAATCTTAGTTTCGTCCCCGCATATTTTTTTAAGAGGATTGCTAAATATGACTGAAATAGTTTATCAATTAACTTTTTATGTGAATTCTTATTTTGTAGGATAAGTTTTACTATTTATTAAATATGATGAGTCTTAACTTTTTATTACATTAAGACACCTAAATTGTGAAACAAAATGATAAAATAAAACCAGTGATAAATAACATTTCTATTCTATTAATGAGAAACCCATAAAGTACTATATTCTCACCACATGTCTCCATTGTTTGCTTCAAAAGTTAAAAGGAAAAAAACTGTGTTTGAGTGAAATATTTTCTCATTACTTGCAGTATTAATCGTAAGAACACCTCAGTCGAAGTTCCTTATTCTCTCTTTCTCTAATAAAGCGTTGAAAGAGAGATGTTCAACAACTTGAACCACAGCTCAATGAGCTCATCAGTGAATAATAAATCATTTAAAATAAATAAAATAAAAATTATTAAGACCATTTGTGTCATTGAAAGCAAAAAATAATGTTTTGGCATATATGCATAACAGTAGTTTGAGAGATGAGAACTATAGCCGACCAAATCACATGCCTTTTAACATATTCCTAATGCCATTTCATGCGGTAGATTGTCTGTATCTCTCTCTAGATAATGTTCTCCAACACAATTATATATATATATATATATATATTAGAGACGTAATTACACACTATATTTATGTGAAACAGTTAAACAAATCATGACAGTTATTAAATTTAAAGCAGCTAGATCAAAAAAAGGTATTTTAACAATTAGATATAGATAGTTTTAGAAAGAAAAAAAAGTAGCGGCTTAAGATTTTTGGACATTTGAGGCTAAATATTAAAATGAGGCATCATCTAACTAAATTTCAAAAAAGTTGGGGCTTTCGACGATAAAAATTTCTTATTTATTTATTTATTTATTTGTGAGCCTTAGGTGACAATTTAAATGGCCTAATGATTGAGCCATTTTATGACAAAGTTTTATATCATGATCTTTACAATTTATATAATGAAAAAAGCTTAATTACTCCATGTTAATTATTGATTGGTTTAAAAATAAACTACATAAGATCCAGTCTCATGGGCTAAATATTAAAATGAGGCATCATCTAACTAAATTTTAAAAAAGTTGGGGCTTTCGACGAAAAAAATTTCTTATTTATTTATTTATTTATTTATTTTTTTGTGAGCCGTAGGTGACAATTTAAATGGCCTAATGATTGAGCCATTTTATGACAAAGTTTTATATCATGATCTTTACAATTTATATAATGAAAAAAGCTTAATTGCTCCATGTTAATTATTGATTGGTTTAAAAATAAACTACATAAGATCCAGTCTCATGATATATCATTAAGGGTGACTTTAGGAGTTTTCCTGTTATATAAGAACATAAAATTCAGCCATAAAAGGAAAAAAAGGAAAAAAAAAAAAAACTTAACATACCAGAAATTATCCAAAATACACAGTATTCTTAGTATTTTTCTGTTATTAGATTAAAAGTGCTCGTAAAGAATTAATAGAATATATTTGCTAGCTTGAAAAGTGTTTATGCAAAAAGCCGTATTAAACTCACATTTATTTTTGCTTTATGACTTAATTTAAAGTGATAGCAATTGTTAATCTA